CCATGCCCTGCTCTACAGAACCATTTGCTGAGCATATGGTTTGTTTTAGTATTTTCTGTTTATAAATGTTCTTCAGCATCTTTGGTTTTCTTGAGGGAGAAACAAAGAAGCAGCTGCTTGTTTTTGTGGAGGGGTTAAACGCAGAACATTGTTCTCTCTGGGCTTTATTTAATTTGGGAGAGCAGTAGAACTGGCAGACGTGCACACTGTGTTCCCAGAGCGGAGGCTCTGCTGTGTGTGCAGTTCCCTTAGGCACTGTGCTTCTATGGGCATAAAAGGAGCTGTGAATACACGAGTGCCAGTGACCTCCCCAGCACACTGACTGGTTCTGCATGTATTTCATGCTCTGTTCCTGAAGAGGCAGCAGTGCTTAGGTGATCGGTGGTGGGTATTGCACGGGTAGCACTGCAGTATCTGCTTAACTATCTCATGAAGAACTTGCCACCAGCTAATTCCAGCCCTGCCCTGGTCCCAGATGAGAGGTCTGGTGCACTGGACCCATTGATCTGAGGTATTTTGATTCACTCTGGGAAAAACATGAGGGAATGGCCTTAAGCTGAAGGAAGGTAGATTTAGGTTAGATATGAGGAAGAAATTATTCCCTGTGAGGGTGGTAAGGCACTGCCACAGGTTGCCCAGCGAAGCTGTAGAAGCCCCCCACCTGGAAGTGATAGGTTAGATATGAGGAAGAAATTATTCCCTGTGAAGGGTGGTAAGGCACTGCCACAGGTTGCCCAGAGAAGCTGTAGAAGCCCCACACCTGGAAGTGTTCAAGCCTGGATGGGGCTCTGAGCAATCTGGTCTAATGGAAGGTGTCCCTGCCCATGGCAGGGTGTTTGAACTAGATGATCTTTAAGGTCCCCCCCAACCCAAACCGTTCTGTGATTCTATGAAATCATCCAGCTCTTCTGGATTGCATCCCAGGCTGTGTTTCAAAACCTGCTGAGCACCAGGGCTGGCACAGGAGAAGAGGCTAAAATTCCTGTAGCAGGAAGATGCAGAGGAAAGGTTCTCCACTTTCGGTGGTGTTGGGCAGGCTGTCTCAGGCAATTTCACCCCAAGTCTCCATCAGCTGGCTTTGGATTTATATTGCAGGGCAGCAATAGCCATCAGCATGAGTTAAGTGGTGGCTGGGGGTTCACCTCAGTGCTGCTTTGTTGCTGCATGAAGTTGTGTCTTTGGGAGCTCAGAGCTTCCAGAGGAGGTGGGATTCTTGCCTGGTCAAGAAAGAAAAACCTTTAGGGGAATTATAGTACAAATATTTATGTTTCTTTAAGCCCACAGTGTTTGCTGTGGGTTTGGCTCTTGGTGCTGTACATTTGACTGCTCTGAAGGTGTATTGGGGTTGCTGTCACCCCACAGCACAAGCAGAGCTCTTTGGGAGTGACATAGCCTCACAGGGACTGTGAGCTGCTGACAGCACAAGGGCTCAGAACCCCCTGTCTATGCGTGGAATTCCCCACCAGCACCTTTCTCTGGCCCTGAAACACCAACACCTGCGTGGGGCCCTGCACCCCTGAGGATTAGCAGGGTGTGAGGGACTGGGCTGGCTCCTTGCTAGTGTGTAATTGCCCTGCCTAAGCTCTTCACTGGAGAAGAGCAGACAAACAGCCCAAATCCTGGCAGGCACTCAGCCTGGGCAAGATGAGGCATGGTATACACAGGGCACAACAGGCGCTGTGGGACAGAGCCCGTGCTAGGGCCTGGTGTGTGAGTTGGGACTTGGCATTAGGGTATTTGGTGTTACCTGTGGTGGGGAGATTGCTCACACCACCCTGAGTAACGTATCCATTGGTCTGGTCTTGGTCTGTGTTCATTCAACCTTGATTTTTGAAATGGTTTGTTCTTGGCACAGATGGAGATCTTAAAAAACAAACAAATAAAATCTTATCACTCTTTTTCTTAATCCTCTCCTGTTCTCAAGCCTCAGCTCCTTTGGAGGCCCCTTGCAAGAACATGGGGCTCCAGTGACTCAGTGCTGGTTTTCTTTGCAGTGTTTTTTACTTCATAACTTATCCGGTTACTCTCGAATCCATGTGTGCTTCGATGACATCGCACACTGTGGTTACAGCTCAGGGCAGACCTGAGGCCCCTCTGGAGAGAGGCACAAGTGAATGTCTCTGGTACAAGCTCTGTCCCAAAACCTCTGTGTACTGCCAGGCTCCAATGCCATAGAATCACAGAATATTTAGATGGGAAAAGATTTCTAGGACCATCAAATCCAACCATTAGCCCAGCAGTGCCAAGGCAACTGCTAAACCCTGTCCAAAGTTGATAGAAACTTGCAGGAGGATTCAGGTGCAGCCCTGACCCATAACCAGACTCATCAGGCTTTCTGGGGTGTGTTTGGTGTAAATGGCTTTGCATAGCTATGAGTTAGGAGAACTTGGTCTAAAGTATTGTAAACATTATTCACTAAAATACAAACTTTGGACCTGACAGACATTACAATACTGATTCCCAAGCTGTTGAGACACGGATGCTGTATCTCAAACTAATGAAATCTTGGAGCGCAGCTTCATTTCAAGGCCTTGGTCATCTCCACAGCTAGTATAAAATGCTAATATAAAAATACTGCCAAAATAATTTGAAATAAACCAGAGTCTACAAATAGGAAACAGCTAAGAGTCCCATTTATGAACAGCTTATTCTCGAAGGAAGGTACAATCTGGTTAAAATCAGTGCAGGGGGAAAAATTCATCAGACATCTAGACATCATTGAATAGACAAGAACAAAATACAGCTGTCCTGGGTCAAGCAGAAGGTCTGTTAGTCCAAAAGCCTGCTGGCAGCCAAGGCTGTAGGGCGGACACCGGGGGAAGCAGATAATAGCAGGCAAGCACATGGAGATGCTTCTTTGGAGGTGCTGGTTGAGCTTCTGGTTGACTTTCTGGTGAGTCTGGCAGCTTCTGTGGCTGTAGGACTCTAATGCCCTTTGAATGGATGTTGTCTTACATGGGTCCAAAAAACCTAATGCCAGGGAAAAAATAATCCTGTCCTAGGTTGAAATGTCCTGTGTCAGAGCTCTACAGCTAACATGCAGAGCTGAAAAACACCTCCCGTTGTTTGCTCTGAGCTGAGTCATTGGGCAGCCTGTGAGGGGTTGGCCTGGCAGGTTTGTTAGAGCCAAACAGCCCAGCTGAAACTATTGGAGAGCAAATGGCAAATGCTGATTTACTCTGACAACACAACAAAAGCTGTAATTTGGGCTGCCAGTTCTACTTAAATGTCAAAAGTGGCTTGGAGCTCCTCAAACACCTTCAGGTTCATGTTTCAGTGGTGTTGGTGGCTGTTGTCCTGTAGGGAGCAGCGCAGCAGGTTGATGTTATGCTGGGGGCTGCCTGCTTCTCACCGTTCTCTTACTGGCCTCAGTCCCCTGGGCAGCCCCAGTGTGACTCACAAGGGCTGTCAGGGTAAGACTAAATCCTCTTTGAGTTCCCTATGAAAAGAGAACAAATCAACCCTGAAAGTGTTCAAGACCAGGTTGGATGAAGCTTTGAGCAACCTGGTCTTGTGGAAGATGTCCCTGTCCTTGGCATGGGGGTTAGAACTGGATGAACTTTCAGGCCTGTTCCAACCCAAACCATTCTATGAATCTAAGAAATCAAGATGAAAGACAGAACGTGTGCATGTCCTCTTTCTAGGAGACCACACCATAGCCTGTGGTCGTTGAGGGGCTTGTGGGCACTGGGAAACAGGTGGCCCCACTTGGTTTCAAGCTGTCTGAAAAACCACACTTGGTCTGTCAGTGTCTGGTTGGCATCATGCACTGCTGTAAGCCACACCCAAGGGGCGATGGCAGGTAGAGCAGTGCTCCTGTTGCCTGGATCTATCAAGCAGAGTGTATTGGGGCAGAGACTCATCACCTGAGACAGGGAATTGTCCCCGTGTAAATCAAGAGTAAACAGAATCAAAGCACCATCTTGCTTTAATGCAATCAGATATGAATAACCAAAAGTCAGGCTCGCTGTACTTTCTCACTTGATAAACCATGTGCTTGGCTAGCAGATGCTCTGACTGACTGAAGAGGAAATTAGAGAGCAAACACATAGCTATTAAGAGTTTAAATAGACACGTTTACCTGTCCTGACTATGCCTTGCGTCATTTTATATTACTGTAAAAATTAAAACCACATTTAGGATGATGTAAATGAAATGGTAATTTCACAGGAACCTCTTTCATGGGCTACAGGATTGGTCTTCTGGCTGACCACAAACAGTACCTGAACCTGTCATTAGTTCCTCAGGAAAGAAGTTAAGAGTTTTATAACGTTCTGGCACTCCTACAAAACCAGAAGGAAAGAATTGTGGAGACTTAATGAGCTGTGTGATATTTATAGAATAGAATCATGGAATCGTTTAGGTTGGAAAGGATCTTAAAGATCCTTGAGCCCAACTGTTACCCCAGCTCTGCCAAGGCTACCACTAAACCATGTCCCCAGGTGCTATGTCTATTAAATCCCTCCAGGGATGGCGACCATGCAGGGCTAGAAAGAGGCAAGTCATCTGGATGGCAGTCAGGAAAAACTGATGTCAAACGTGACCTCTCCCCAGGCATCAGTTAGGATGACGGCACTCGCCTTCTCTGTATGTGGTTAGCCAGAGAGGAAGGTTTCATTAGCTCTTTAGGGATTGACTCTTGCAGCACCATTTAAGGTCTGTGAAGCACCTGGAAGAAGGGTATAGAATTATTTCAAGCAAGAGACTAATGTGAGGAGAGGACCTGGTGACACACTGACTGGGGTTGACTGAAATCTCTTATTCTAAGTAGTGTTGTTGTAGAGGATGGCCCCTGGAGAACTGGGGCTGACCTGAGAGCTCTGGCACCCAACCTTGGGTAGGTGCCATATGTGTAGGCAAAACACATGTTCTCCAGAAATAACTATTTCCTTTACCTGCAGCTTATTCCAAGAAACTGGATGGTTTTGGATTTGTTTTTGTTTTAAAAAAACAAACAAACAGCATTCATTTAAGTAACCATTTTATTTTTCCCTGCCCAGATTAATCCTGGTAGTAAAGCAGCCATGGCAGACCTGTGCCCAGGAGATGTTATTCTGGCAATCAATGGAGAGAACACTGAGAACATGACACACTTAGAAGCACAAAACAAGATCAAAGCGTGTGTGGACCAGCTGCTGCTCTCCGTGAACAGGTTGGTCTTCTCTGTTTGTTGTGCTTCTGTGTCAGCTTTGTTGCAGAAGGTTTGTGTCTGGCCTTGGAACAGATGAGCCCTTAGGCTCAGTTCTTGGAGCATCCCTGTGGTCTGGGTAATTGTCCTGTGACTTTAAAAACAGTACACCAAAATGATTTTTAATGGAGCATTGATACAAAAAATGGGCTCATTTATACATGTGGATTATCATTTGTACCTTGCAATGCTTGTCCAGGCTGTGACCTGGGTTGTCTTTCAACCCAATGGAGATTGTATCAACACAAGCAAGAGTACACTGGGATCAAAATCAAAGCCTCCCACTTCGTTAACATCCACCTGTCATTTTCCTAAACATCTGTTCAATGAATACACATTTGAAGGTCCTGCCAAATTCACTTTTTTAGAGTATTTCAAAGCAAAATTAAGGCTTGGGTTTGGGTGGGGTTTTTTCTTTCCATTGGAATGAATTCTGTAGCTAGATGTACTTAATCACAAATTATCTAGGCAAAATGAGTGCTTCTTTTAAGGTTCACAAATGACTAATGTTATCTGTAATAGGTTTAAGTAAGTGGATATAGTTTTCCACTTCAGTTTCAAAAGGCATTTCCTGCTATAAAAGAGCTATCATTTAGTGTTTATACTCTTTTTGGAAAACCATGTAATTCTGAGTGGATGCCTGGGCAGCAGGGAAGGAGTGCTGCTGTAAATGGAGCAGTCTCTGTGGTTCCTCAGACAGCAGTGTCCGAGCTGCTTGGCTGAAGCAGAGTCCTCTGAGCTCAGCCCTTGGTCTACAGATGATGTGGCATCAAAATTAGGAGAGAAAGAAAACAAGAAAAGCAAGCAAACCCTTCACACAGGTGCAATTTCCCATAACCAAGGAGGACAGTGGTTTTTGCTTTCCATTTGGAGCAGTTTTAGGGAGATTGGATGGTGGTCTACCTGCTACACGGGCTGTGCTCAAGGCATGACAAGGGTTCCCTTCCTGACTGTCCACAGGCTGCTGGAGCTCTCCTGGGAAAAGGTGGAAATCTTTGTGTAGTGATGGAAGGTTTTGGTGAGCCACCAGCTGCTGAGGTGGTTTGGCAGCAGAACAGCTTTGTCAGGAATTAGAACAAGGTTTTGCTGAGAACAACTTTCACCTGCACTGTGGCAGTGTTTCATTCTCATGTTTCTACTGTGTGAATTTATGGGCTGAATTCCCACCTTTACACCTCATTTTATCCACTGGTATCAATTGGAATTTGTTTTTTGGCTGAGATTTGATCCTTGAGTATCTCTGAAAGCACATCTCTCCTAAGAGGTGATTCCTGCACAGGGCAGGGGTTGTCACAGTGCTACAGGGGTGGACAGAGGTCTCACAACAGTGCTGGTGTGTGCCTTGGTGGGGTTAGGGATGATCTGCCTGTTTTGTTTCCCTAAGATGCAGAAATGTTTATTCATGGCCTCATGATGATCCTCATGTGTGGAGTGTCTGTGGCTTCAGTTTGGATTTTCCCAGCTGTACCTACCAAGGTGGATATTTCTTAAGAGTGAGACTGTGGTGTGGCCAGAGGGTGGTGAAATCTCTTAAATGCAGATGTTGCTGCCTGGTGTCATTAAGCCTTGCAGTAGTGCAGGGTTTGTGGGTGAGGTGGCCTGAGCTTTGCTAGGCAGGAAGGCAGGCAAAAGGATTGCAATGGTTTTGTTGGGCCTTAAAGTCTTGATAAATACAGATTTGAAAGGCTCTTGTATCTCATAGGCAAAAATAAATGTTTGGGATTCTGTAAGTAGGAAGAGAGAGGAGCTGGTGATGGTGAGGAGCTGTTCAGCATGAGCAAGATCACACTGCTGGGTTGGTTTGATAGCTTCTCTGAGGGCAGAACACACTTTAGCTGTGCCCAGAGATGCCCATGAGAGTGGCATTCTTCCTGACTGGAAAAACTGAGTAGTTTGGTTTTTCTACAGTAAGGACAGCAGCTCCAGTAGTGCTTTATTAGGCCTATTTTTAGTTTGGCTCAAAGTGAGTGCTCAGTGACATGGTTCTTGGATCTCTCTCCTGTTTCCTGAGTGACCTGTTGGTTCTAGATGACTCTGCCCAGCTGTTAGTAATTGCTGGAAGCACATCTGGTGCTCCCTCCTCAACGTGAACAGATCCCTCCTTCAGGACCTGCCTCCTGGAGCATGGGATGACCTTGTCCTGCCAAGGGAGGTATGTCCTGAGGTACCACTAGGTTTTGCTGGGTTTTGTGTGTCCAGCTGCTGCCATTTGTCATGGCTGCAGATCACCACCCTGGACTCCTCTCTGAGGCTGGGCTCCAGGAGAACACTGAGTGGAGGAGTGTGGATTCATCTCTTTTCCCTTGGGCAGAGGATGCTCTCCAAGCATCTCTCTGTACACTGCCTTCAGCAAAATAGTTTGCAAAGGAGCTTTATTTTTAAATAAGTGTGATTGTCTGAAATATTTTTGAAATAACAAGCTTGTTTGTTGCATATCTTTAGTGAAGACACATGAAATATGGTGTTAACGCTGTTTTGCCAAAGGAGGGTTCCTCCAGCTGGATGTGTGTGGAGGGAAGGCAGGGAGCTGGGCAACTTCCAGCTCACTGGTGCCCTCTGGTCTGCTCCATCTCATGCCCTTTCTCCATCAACCCTTGGCATTCTGTGTTACTGAGGTAGAGAACAAGACAGGTTTTGTTTTCAAACTCTGGTCAGTAAATTCCCTTTGACTAGTAGGAAAGTCAGAATGGGGGAAAACAAGAAAGGGAAGTTACTGGGTGGTCTGTCACGGGTCTTTCCTCTCCTTGAGACACTTGAGTTTCCCTGGCCTGACTCTGAGCCCCACAGGAGGCAGGGCTGGGGGTGCAGTGCTGAGGAGGTAGCTCTAGACATGTGGGCTGCTCGCTTGCAAAGAATTGCAGGGCTCAGGGTAGCTCTGCATCTGAACTTCCACAGAATTCTAGGGTAGCTGAGGGAGGCAGTCCCTGCAGGGCAGCAGTGGCAAAACAGCATGGTGAGAAGTCTGGGCATTCTATCTCCAGACTGTGGCCACCTAGGATGGAAAATCTGCTTTGTTTTCTAACAGTAACAAAGGAGCCAGCAATAGGGCCTTGATAATCACATCTGGGCTGTCTGTAGTGATGTGTGATCATGTCAACAAATACTTGCAGGTTAAAATTAGTGTTATTGCTTGTGATCAACCCTTTCTTATCCTGGGAGACAGTTGGTTTCCAGGCAAGTGTTCACAACAAGCCCAGGACCCAGAGATAATCAGTTTGGGAGTATAGCATGCCCTGTTCTTGCTTACACATCACTGTATTTTCTTATCTCTTTTACAGAAACCCTTTCCAACTCCTTTCCATGTTAACATATCTCGTGGTTATGCTGCAGCCCTGGATATTAGGGAAGACTTGTTACTTTAAATTGGATCATGCCTCAAATAAAAGCAGCCATAAAATTGGGTTGGAGCTGTGCTTTCCTGAAACCATTGCTCGAGGACAGAGGGTTGAGCACCTGAAGGACCTTGGGTGCAGGATGGGAGACCTTGTGGCGTCACTGTTCCTGCTGCCACCACAGCCTGCTCGGAAGCCTTTGGCACCACTGTCCAGACCTGCCCGTCTGTGCCAGAGGGCCAGGGCGAGCCCCACAGCTTTTTCTGAACCTTTTGTCATCTGCCAGCTGGGAGGGTTGAAGGCTTGTGCTGCAGCTTTCCTGGAGGAGCTGGCCCCATGCCACATTGGGAAAACTGCTGGGAAGGGATGTTGTAGCTTTTCTAGTATGTTGGGGTCTGTGGCTCTCCTGTACACCTGCAGCACAGCTTGGTATTTATGAAGCTGCCTCTGCTCTCAGGCTGGACTAACAGATATTTCCTTCTTTTTTTTTTTTTTTAAAAAAAAATCCCTTTGTCCTTTGTTAAGAACTTAAATCTCTTCAGGGGGTTCTCCCTCCTTCTTCACACCCACATTGTCTAATACCTTTCTTGGCCAGACCCCTAACCCACTAAAGTTAATGGATGTTTTGTCACTGGCTTTTCTGGGTCCCACTTTGCCCTGACACATGCAGGATTTTCTCCAAGCAGGGGGCTGGGAAAGGCAAAGCAGCACAGTAGCATTACTTGTCTGAAACAGAATGGTTGAAAATCCTCATCAGCTCACAAAAGGAGCTGGTTTATATAACTGATGCTCATGTTGGTACAAATGTAAGGTGCAAGGAATTACCTGGGCATCCCTGGAACAAGGACTGGGCATTCAGGTCAAGGTTAACAGCTCTAAAATGGGAAGCCACGAATTCAAGTGAGGCTGGAGTAGCACCTGACACCGGGACTGTGGGGAAGCTGATGATGGTGGTGATGAGGATTTAGCAGTTGATTTGGGCTACCCTGATGATAAATCAGGTGACTGTTCAAGCATCATCTTCCCAGCTGTTGAATGCCAAGCCTAGATAGCATAGGATCTATATTGCCTCCTTACTGCAGGAAGGGTCAGGGCAGTTCTGTGGCAGCAAGTTGGAGAAGATCTGGGGTGCTGAGCAGCCCCATGAACTATTACTCACAGGAACCTGGTAAAACTTGTTCTTTTTACTCACTGTGAAGTTGTCTCTAAGTTACACAAGAAATTCCTTAACAGGCAAGAATTGTGTTAGTGTGTTGTGCCAGGGGAGGTTTAGATTGGATATTAGGGAAGATTTCTTCACTGAAAGGGTTGTCAAGCCCGGGAACAGGCTGCCCAGGGAACTAGTATCCCTGGAGAGATTTTTAAGATCAGGGACATGGTTTAGTGGTGGGCTTGGCAGTGCTGGGCTAACAGCTGAACTTGATGGACTAAGGGGGCTTTTCCAGCCTTAACAATCCTATGATTCTCAGTCCAGTTCCAGCCCTTTCTTTTGCTGATAGCACCAGAGCTGTTGTGTGTGGGGCCATGTGGGTGCTGGAGGACTGGCAGCATTTACCTTGCCCCAGGTATAGCCAGGGACCCCAGGGGTGGTTGGGTTGAATACCTTTCCTGTCTGTGGTGTCAAAGCATAAATCCTCAAAGGTTCACTTTTGGCTCCTTCTAACTAAAATCAATTCTGGAAGTGGTTTCTTCCTCCTTGGTCTGGTGTGTGTTTGCCACTGCTGAGTCTGCCTGGAGAACTAAGTATGAAGATTCTCTGTTTATTCCTCCTCTCTGTAAGGAGATGGAGTTTCTCTGGAAGTTTCTCTGGGAGAAAGCCTAGTAATGAATCTGCTGGACGTGTAGCCCCGAAGTCCCTGGAACCTCACGTAGTTGTTGTTCTTCCCACTTCCCCCGGCTCCTGGAGGTTTTGTTGGGGTCCGTTAGCCGTGAGCAGGGCAGGCATGCTGCTGGAAGATGGGAAGAATGACAATGTATGATGTTCTCAAGTTTCCAGTAAAAGTTCAAGTGAAAAAGTGAATCACAGCTTCCCCTCTGGAGCTCCTCGAGGACTAATAGAGAGGAAAACCGGCAGCTTTCCAGAGCAGTACACAATGGTTTCAGCTGAGAGGAATGAAGGAGGAGAAGTTCTGCAGCTTCTCCTTTACATAATCTGGACGAGCTGGGTCCTTTGGGGTGCTGGGCAGAGTCCAGCTCCTGTGCTGCTCACCTGCCTTGCAGAGGATGAATCCAACACCTTATGGTTATTGTGGTGAGGCTTACACTCGTGGGAAGTTCAAAGCATCAGCTGTAGCTTCTTCTAGACTGAGTTCAGCCCTTAGAAGGCTAATGGCCATATCAGTGATAAAAATCAGTTCTGAGCACAGTGTGATATGCCAACGTGGGAGGTGAAAAGCATTCAGGAGATGGGCAGGACCCTGGAGTCACCCCCCAAAGAAAGGCCAATATATATTGGGGTGAAATGTAGCAATGTGATTATTCTGTATGTCTGCAGCTGCACAATTGTAGATGGCAGCACCTGGTCGGGGCTGGCACTTCCCCAAGTGACAAATGTTAGTTTATAAGGGGATGGAGAAATTAGAGACTCGGTAAGACTCAGGAATTCTTGCAGCTTAAAAGCAGCTCTACAAATGTTGAGAGTGAGACTTGCAGATCATTACCAGGTGAAAAAACATTTTGGTAAAATATTTGAGCATATGCAAGTAATCTTTTGAGAATGATGTTGAGACTTCTAGAAAACAAATGGTGGGATAAAAGGTGTCTGCAACTCTGTTTTTTCAGTGATGTCCTGTTAATGGGTCTGTTTCCCACAAAGCCCCATGTGGAAGGCCTAGCACTAACCTAGGTCAAGTTATTTTTCTTGGGATTGTCCTAGCAGCCCTTAAAAGAGTGCAGAGTGGTGTTAGTGTAGGGTAATGATTTCCACATAGCTGCCTTTAATCCCCTACAACACATCTGAAAACACTTTTCCCGTCCTTGAGCCGTAAATTAAATGACTTGGAACATTTGAGCGACACCTGATCTCTTGCCCATGACGTTGGAAAAGTGCAATGGGTTTTTGCTGTTGCCTAAACACAAAGCTCTGACTGTTGGTAGTGTGAACCTGCTGCCAGGGTGGCTTGGGGTGGCTCTGCTGATCCCCACATCCCTGCTGCTCTGGGGGTGCAGAGTACCCCTCCTGCTGCTGGTCCTGCTGGGGTGTGGGCACAGAGTGTTCCTGCAGTCAGGGTTGGGCTGTGAGCTCCAAGCATCAGCCCCTTCTGCAGTAGCTGCCTGTGGCATCATTCTCTTAGACAGAGTCATCTCTTAATTATTTTGGATTATTTTGGATTACATGGTATTTTGCTGTTCCCAGGGAAAAGAGGGAGTCTCTCTGAGTAAGTATAAATGCTCATTGAGCTTACGATTTGCATTTCTCTTTGGTGAGGCTGATGTTTCTCCCATTCCCCTTTGCTTTGCATTTAAAGGTGCCAAATGGAACCTGAATTGTGCCATTTCAGCTTGTTTCAGCATAGTTCAAGTGGAAGCTGGGGCTGAGGTGAACTTGGCCATTGCTGGAAGCTGTTTGAGATGGTCTGAATTATACCAAGAACTTCTGGTCACTCTACATAATTGATAGTGAAACCTTGAGTTTAATCATTAAAGCATTAGCTACAGATGAGCTTCTCCATGTAAATCAGTCTGGACATGTTTTTTGTTAGGTGTAAGTATTCTCATAATGACTCTTGGAAAACACAAGTTTAGCTGCTTTCTGGTTCAGACATTGTGATCTTTGTCAGGGGTATGGAGAACTGGGAGGCTCCAGCTGGGAAGTGCTGGCAGCACTGGTGACCGAATGCCATAGCTTTACACAGAGCTAATTTACTGCATCGCTCTCATCTGCTGCAGTCAGAATTGCTTTCTGAAACTCGTGTTTACTGGCAAATTGAAGTATTTGAGGATGATTTAAGCTGCTTGGCATGTGGGCTCCAGAGCTGAGAGGGGGAAATGTTGTCACAGCCCTTTCTCAGGGTACTGTGAGCTCTCATCAGACTGGCTCAGTGTGAGGGGAAAGCACGGAAATAATAATGTGATCCCTGCCAATGTAATTAGGCATTTCCATTGTTCTAGACCTCCAGATGAGATTGCCAATGTGGAAGCAATATACACAGCTCTGGATCATGGCAAAAAGCGAGTTGGGGCTGCTGGCGTCCTGGTTTTAGCTGATGTTCCTGGGAAGGACTGTTTCCTTTGTCCCACTTGGAAAGACCAACTTATAGTGAATTGTCCCAGCCTAAAATCAGATAATTACAGTAAAGATAAATTATCAGAACAAGCCATCTAGCTATGAGAGAGAGTATGCCATATCTTGTTAAAAATCCTGTGATGGCAGTACTGAGTAGTGGTTTGGAACAAACAATAACAACCTTAAATCTTCAGAACCTGGATCCAAAGTGTATGAAAGTCACTGGGAGTCCCTGCTTTTGGTAGATTTTAGGTCGAACCTTAGATTTGAAAAGGCAGCTTTGCATGCTGACTGGTGTAGCTGCAAAATACCCAAGGTAAAAAATCACCTTAAGAATTCCTGAGTTAAACCTATGCTTCTTAATTTTTCAAACTTGGACTCTGCAGATAATTAAACCAAAGCTGCTTGTGGTATGTAGCAGGGGCCAGAGTCCACAAAAGATACTTGGATGTAGCCTGTGATTTGTGCCCATGGAACAAGACCCACATTCATTAAGTGCAGATTGCAATGATAAACAGGATAGTTTGCATGTGAAAGCTTTATCTTGAACTTCAGGGAATTTCCATCTCCTAACTCAACCTCCTTGCATCTTAGAAAGCCTGTGTATGATCCTGCTGGACCTTGTCTGGGCCCCTGCAACTCCCTCATACCCCAAGTGCTGGAGATCCATGCTGCGGATCACATCCCAGCCATGCCCTCAGATGCCTTTGTGGGGGAAAAAGTGATCAGGCACATGGAAAAGCTTTGGACAGTGGCAGCATCCTGCTTTGCCTTGGCAGGACTGAAGATGCATTTGGGAATGGAAACTGTATTTTTAGGGCTTTTTCTATCTGGCACCTGTTGAAAGCGTCCACATGATTCATACAGGGTTGTGTAAGCATTCTCCCTGATAGGTGTTTATAC